TCTTTCTGATAGTTTGTTAGCAGTGGTTGATACAGTGAATCGTCAGCTCTTTCTGATAGTTTGTTAGCAGTGGTTGATACAGTGAATCGTCAGCTGAGGCGTCAGTGCAGGCTGGGGCAGGAAGGACCAGAAGCAGCTGTGCCCCAGCAGACCTTCAGTCTCTTTCCAGGGGAGCAGAGCCTTTCCTACAAGGTGCTGTGATGCTGAGACTACACTGCTAGCAGCTGTGCTTTGACCCAGCACCTCTCCGAGATCATCGGGGTCCTGGTCAGCCTTCTTTCACCCCAGACCTCTGCAAAGCATGCAGAACTCTGTCTCCCTTTGTCCAGGGCCTGTGGATAAGAGAACAGGGTTGACATAAGCAAACCTGAGTTTAAGGCCTGGTTTTGCCCCTTGCTAGTATGTAGCAGTAGATGCAGTGCCTGTCATTGCTGAGCCTCTGTTTCCTTATCTGATTTGGGATGGTATGAGGGTGGTAGGAAGGTCATCTGAAATCATGGGCATAAAGCATCACCGGGCACATGGTAACCATCGGTTGCCAAGTCTTTCCATGCATGGTGGCCGCCGTGAGGGTGGAGCGGTTCTTCAGAGGTCCAGAGCCAGCCTTCCACACGTGGTTCCTGTCTCTGATCCTGTGTGACTAGGAGGTCCTGGGAGCCCCCAGAGCTCAGGTCCTGCCACCCTGCAGGGGGCTGCACTGTCCGCTGTGGTGCTTTCAGACACACCTGCACACCTGTTCTGTGTGTGTCCCTATCGAACCACCTTCTTTCTCTGTGTCCACAGCCAGTCCCCTCGAGCCGAGGTCCTCGCCCTCCCCACCCCCTAGCCCCACGGAGCCCGAGAAGAGCTCCCAGGAGCCCTTGAGCCAATCGCTGGAGAGCTGCAAGGAGAACCAGCAGCCAGAGGGCCGCTCAGGAAAGGTGTATGGCCAGGCTGTGGGCGGCATCCAAGAGATCGTGGCCATGTCCCCAGAGCTGGACACGTACTCCATCACCAAGAGGGTCAAGGAAGTCCTCACAGACAACAACCTAGGTATGGACCGGGCCGTCAGCGTGCCACCTCCCACCGCGCTGTCTCCTGGTCACCTTGAGAAGGAGTCTGGAGAGGACTCAGAGTCCCGGCGCCCAGCCTCTGGGACCCTCAGTGAGGTGTGAATCTGGCCTGGACACAGGTTGGACACAGGTCTGAGAGAATTCTTAACATGAGGCTCCCGGCTGGAGAGTCCTGGTCACAGTGCAGTGTAACCCTTAATGGAGCAGAGATTCCTGCCCTCTCTGGAGACTTAGATGCAGGCTGGCTCTCCTCAGAACAGATGCCATGCCAACCCCAACTTCTCATTAGAACTCTTACTATTGTAAATACTATTACAAACAAGACACGCGTTCATTGTTTAAAAGCAGAAGTAAACAAATCCTCTCACCATCTCTCACTTTCACTCCACAGTTTTTAACTAGCTTTGATGCTTTCTAAACACATGCAAAAAATATACATACATTCACAGCGGTTTTTTTCTCCTTAATAAGTGGAAAGGAACCTGGTAGAGCAGTGGCTAAGCTCTCAGTTGCTTACCCAAAAGGTCAGCAGTTCAAACCCCCTATCTGCTCAGAGGTGCAATAGTCTGCTATTGTGAAGACACCTTGGAAAACCAGGGGAGCCTTTCTATACCGTCCTGTAGGGTCACCATGGGTCAGGTCCACTCAGGGCCTGCGTGTCCTGCAGGGTCACCGTGGGTCAGGGTCCACTCAGGGCCTGTGTGTCCTGCAGGGTCACCGTGGGTCAGGGTCCACTCAGGGCCAGGTGTGTCCTGCAGGGTCACCGTGTGTCAGGGTCCACTCTGCGGCCATACGTGTCATTTCGGGCTGGTCTGTAAGTGACCATGCACCCAAAGGCTGCTGCACCTTCCCTTTTGAAAATTAGCTGGCTTGTGCAGACACCCTCCTAGTGGGATGGGTCCACCCTTCTTGCGCTGTTACTGTAGGCCGTGCACACGTCACAGCTCTGCCGGCCGTTGGGCACACAGGCTGCTTTCAGTCCCCTGTCCTTCTGATGTGCGTCCCGTCTCCCCTTGTGCCCTTGGCTGGCCACATTCAACTGTGGGAGAAATTCCAGTGATTGAATCAAAGGCCACGCACATCCTAAACTGTCGTAGAATCTGCTTACCCGCTAATATGGAGAGACAGATTCAGACCCAAGGACCCTTCACAACCATTTCTGGGTTCCCCTAGGAGTGGGCTGTGAGCCCTGGTCCTAACACACCTGATTGGTAACCAAAAGGCTGGCAGTTCAGATCCACCAGCCTCTTGGGAAGGAGGAAGCAGTCTCCTTCCACAGATACTTAGAGCCTCAGCAAGCCAGTGGAGGGCTCTGTGGGGCAGAGCCACCTGGCTGCAGTGAGAATAGGGCAGGCCCCCAAGGGCCAGGGCCCCCTAAATAGAAAATGTGCTTTTTCTGGTAGTGGGCTGACCGGCCCCCAAAGACCCCCTTCAGCTGCACAAAGGTTGGAGGTCCACCAACCTGTCCTGGGCGGCCTCTGCCCCCAGCCCTGCTCACCAGCCCTCCTCACCTGTCCCCAGGGCAGCGGCTCTTCGGGGAGAGTATCTTGGGCCTGACCCAGGGCTCCGTGTCTGACCTGCTGTCCCGGCCTAAACCCTGGCACAAGCTGAGCCTGAAGGGGCGGGAGCCCTTCGTCCGCATGCAGCTGTGGCTCAGTGACCCCCACAACGTGGAGAAGCTGCGGGACATGAAGAAGCTGGAAAAGAAAGGTGAGGCCTGGCAGGGGCGGGGCTCCAGGCTTCCCCGCGCAGTCAGTAAACCAGTAAACCCAGTGGTCAGCCTGACATTAGTCCACAAGAAACCGCCATCCCACAGAACGCTGACACTGAAAACAAGGTTTTCTGTTGTTGGGTGCCGTCGAGTGTGATTCGTGGGGACCCTATAAAAACTGTTCCGACCCCGGCCTGTCTTGTGCCACCCTCAGTCCCTGACCCACTCAGGCCCATTGCCGGTGTCTACCAGCTCTCCATAAGCTCGGAGCTTTGGTGGCCTAGTGGGAAGGATTTGTGCAGACAAACCAAAGCTACCCCGTATGAAGCTCTGGTGGCCTAGTAGTAAGAAACTGTGCTGCAATCCCAATGACACATGGTTTGAATCCCCCAGATGCTCCTCTGGAGAAGGAGAGACAGTCTCCTCCTGTGCCAGTCGGATCTGATTTGACGGTACACAACACAAAAAGGGGACAAAACCAGCCACCCAAACCCCCAAAGCTACCTCGTTTGACCCCCACCAAGTGCGCTCCAGTTCAGTTGACTGCCCATGAAAACCCGCTGGAGGGTCAGCTGTGAGTTGGTTCCAGTTCAGTGAGTCACCATGACAACTGTCAGTCCCGGGAACATCTCAGCACCGTCTCCCTCAGCCTCCTTTCACCCACACGCAGCTGCTCCAAAGGCGTCTGCCGCTCCCAGCTCCCCCAGACCGCCTCTCCTCGTCCCTCTTCTCTGCCTGAGCTCTGTTGCATGGCTCACTCCTTGCCCCTCAGCACAAGCCCACAGGAACCGAGAGGCGGCAGCTCTCCCTTTCATGTGCTTGAGCCAGGGGGTTGCAGGGCCTTCTGTTGTCCAGAGCCCCAGCACTGGTGAAACAGGACGTATGAAGCACGCTGTGTGCCCAGCCCACGGCAGGGGGGTCAGCGTTCCCCAGAAAAGCCTCAGGGTCTGGCTGGAAGAGCAGACACGGGGCCTGAGGAGTTGGCAGCTGTGCCAGGGCAGTTGATGGCGAGGGCCAGGGTATGGTCAAGACTTGAGGAGCAGCATGCAGCAGGGCCAGGGCTGTGTCCTAAGACAACTCTGTAGCTGACAACTTGGCCTGCTGCTTCCCAGCTGTGTGACCTTGAGAGAGTTACTGCCCCTTGCTGTGCCTCAGTCTCCTTTCTCTTGAAAGTGTCAGTAGTACCTACCTGAGGATACCACCGTGGGTGTTAGATGAGATGCTGGGACTTTGTTTATTCAATTCCAGAGCACCTTTATTTCACGTTTCGGTGACATCTTAAGGTAGCGGCTTCATTTAAACTGGTATTTTTCCATTTCCTCCCAAAGGCTGTTCTGGAATTCAGTGGCACTTCTGATGATCTAAAATGCCAGAGCAGCACCCATTTTTCCAGTATTTCTTGTGTAAGGGAGCTCTGGTGGCCTAACTGGTCAGGAGCTGAGCTGCTAACCCAAAGGCAGGTAGTTCAAATCCACCAGCTGTTCTGCAGGGGCACGACGGGCAGTTTTCTCCCATGTGATTTCCAGGCCAAGGACCTGCTGACGGGGCCAGCTGCAGCAGTCCTGGCTGGACCACGGAGTTCATCCTTCTCAGTGTGCGTGAGGGAGGCGCCCTGCCCGGCCCTCTCCACATGCTCAGGTGCTGAGCACCAGGCCTCTGAGGCAGCCCCAGCTGCCTGGACCAGCGTGGACAGGGCAGGTCTCTCAGCAGTGGGCTCAGGAAGGCCGGGAACAAACTAAGAAACAAGAAAAGGCAGAAAGGGGCAACTGAGATGGGCGTTTGGGCCCAGATTTGGCGCTCTGGAAGGGTCTGACACTTCCCTGGGGCTCCTTCCTCCCTCTGGGACGGGGCGTCCCCAGGCCTCTGGCCAGGCAGCCCCTCTCAGGCCATCCCCCCTCCCCTGTTCCAGCCTATCTGAAGCGCAGGTACGGCCTCATCAGCACCGGTTCCGACAGTGAGTCTCCAGCCACGCGCTCCGAGTGCCCTAGCCCCTGCCTGCAGCCCCAGGACCTGAGCCTCCTACAGATCAAGAAGCCCCGCGTGGTGCTGGCCCCCGAGGAGAAGGAGGCGCTGAGGAAGGCCTACCAGCTAGAGCCCTACCCCTCCCAGCAGACCATTGAGCTCCTGGCCTACCAGCTCAATCTCAAGACCAATACTGTCATCAACTGGTTCCACAACTACAGGTAAAACCTGGGGGCCGGCCCTCTGCCCCATCCTGGGGCCAGGAGGGTCCCATCTGCAGGGACCCCCATTCCCCATCCCAGGGCCTGCAGGGACCCCCATCCTCCATCCCAGGGCCTGCAGGGAACCTCATCCCCCATCCTCCATCCCAGGGCCTGCAGGGAACCTCATCCCCCATCCTCCATCCCAG